GGCACCAATGTGGGAGGGGGGAAATAAGAAGGGGAGAGAGCCAACAAAGAATCTTATAAGAAAACAAATCTTGCAGGCTTATTTTCCTGCTTACTAAGTCCTTTATCTGGTTTGCCAGGGCTCATCCTAAATAAATGTGCTATAATAGCCATATGGCAGGAGTCAGATTACTAGTTTTCTGAAGGTTCTGTGTTTGTTTGGGTTGTTTTTTGGCAAGATAAAAGTGGTATAAGAGCCCTTTCCATGTGGTGTTCAGATCTTCAGTTTGTCCTCCGAGATCTATTTCAAGCATTTCCCCTGCCCTCCACTCACAACACACCACACCTCTTCCACTCCCCAAAACCTCAGTGTTGCTACTTTTCAGGAGCTGAGAAGTCTGAGGAACACAAAGCTATTTGCACAATCCAGAGAATCCAAACACTTTGATGATCATTTGACTGTGTTCCTCAGCCACTAACACCAGTCAATAGCAATATTGATCCTAACCTTATTGTTACTTCATATGGAACGGCAGAGGGTTCCATTTATGCTCCCGACTGTGATTCTGGCTATGATGGACCAAGTCAGAAATAATTATGCCCATGGATGTTTCCACACATCACTGGGGCACCTTTTGAAACGGTGCCACTTGGAGATCTCTGTTACTAATGAAGTGGAGTCTATCTAGATTGCATGCTTCTAAGGGAAGTGGCATCAATTGCTGATTCCTGGGGTGGGAGAGAAGTTTACTCCATTTCAGGGAAATGATTCAGTATTTCAGAACTTCTGTAGGTCGCTGGCTTTAGCCAGGAGGAGCTTTAATGCCACCAAATGCCACCTCGCTGTTATACAATGCTTTTCAGCAGTGGACCTCTCACTGCTTTGCTAAAGAGGGAAACTGAGACACAGAGAGGAGAACTGACTTGCCCCAAGTTACCCCCAAACCAGTGGCAGAGCCAGGAACAGAACCCAAGTCTCCTAATGCCTAGTCTTGTGATATAGCCATTAATTTACACAGCTTCCCTTTGGTAAAGTGCAGTCAGGTGAAGTGTAACTGTGGTGCTGTATTTACTGAGCAGGGAAAACCAAACTACAGTGGAGAAGCAGGTGACAGTGTTCAGAGGCTCTTGGCTTGTCTGTTTAGCCTGGGGTAGGGGAGAGTGGAGTGGCCTGCATTCCAAGTTCGCACAAGTGGCTGAGATGCCTTGGGGATTCCGGCAGCATAAATGAATGCAAAATCACTAAGAGCTACACATTTTGATAACGACTGGGACTAGTGAAAGAGTCAAACATAATTGACTGTGCCCCCTAGCACTAAACAGTATTTACAAGTTTAGGGTAGACCTAGTTCTTGATATTTAATTACTTTTGTAATAATCATTTAGCCTTTTATAATCTTTAAAATCCCTGTATTTATATGGTTTATTCTGTATCACCCACTGCTGAAATGCAGCCCTCTGGGATAGAAGGCTGGAGCCGTAGGACTTTCCATTGTTTTGGTTTTTAACTTGGGCTTGTGCCCTTTTATGTTTGTTTATTATTTGTTGATTAGGTTTTTAAATTTTGCTTTTTTTTAACCTTAGAAATATCAGGAACATCAATTCTGGTTCTCTCTGGAGGACTTGTTTATTGTCAGAACATTTTTCAGAGTAACAGCCGTGTTAGTCTGTATTCACAAAAAGAAAAGGAGTACTTGTGGCACCTTAGAGACTAACCAATTTATTTGAGCATGAGCTTTCGTGAGCTACAGCTCACTTCATCGGAACATTCTGCATGTTAGACCAAGCCCTTTAATTGAAGGACTGGAGAACTGCTAAATGTTTTCACAAGCCCATCCTTTATCCAAAATGCTGATTTGTCATTGAAGTTAAATATGTTATACAACCAAAGCTGTAGTCATTCTGACTACAAACTGTTCTCACATTTCCCTCTCTAGCCTTGTAGTGTCATTTTGCTAGTTCTCAGCCCTCCGAGACAAAAGCAAGGTTTATTGTTGTCAAAACAAGTAAAATTCTCTTCAAAACCTACCTTTCAAGTCTTCATCAAAACAATAAAAGTATAAGCCCCATTTTTTAATTTGCATGTCACCTTTGAGGACAGCAAATGGAGAAATGTCTTTATCCATTTAAAACAAGAGGACAGCTTGCTTGGAATGCCAGATGGGAGTGAGGTTACTCCTAACTAATTCTGCAGATGAACAAACAGAAAAATACACCATATTTGTTCCTGATCTCATAGGAGGTATTAATTTGGCCCAGCAGATCTAGATACAAAGAAGTCTTTGTTCTGGAAAACAGAGAATAGGACAATAGCCGTCTGATAATATAACCACTGGGCATCTGTCTAGATTCTCTATTACAATGGCATCCTTTGAAATAAATGACAAATGAAAGGGGAAGATGTCTTACACCATAAGAACCATAAAATTGGAGTTGATGTACCTTATTGAGTCTAGCTATAGTGAATTGCAATGGTTATTTACCAAAAAATAAAAATTAAAAAAAATCCCCACGTTTCTTTTGATTCCAGAAGAGGAAATTGTATCTATTGTTTAAAGTCATAATTAGTATTATGTTAGCGATAATGACAACATCCTTAAGAGCCTGAGCATCAGACTTCCCATTTTCTCTCACTGTGTGAGTGATGCCACAACTGTCATGAAGACTGATTTGAAAGAACTCCTGTTCCAGCCCTCTGTTTCTGGCCATTGTGATGACATTCCTGCTGGCAGAAGAATCGGCAGATCTGCCCCTAGGATTTCCTAGAGTCATTCACTTATTCCTGTTCATTTGGAATGCTGCTCACCCGGCTTTAACTTTTAGCAAACCTTTGTGGTCACTTGCAAATGAATGAACCTGTTAAACAAGGTGTGCCTGGTAATTTTCATAAGCCAATTATCTTGGGTTGATTTCTGCATGTGTAGACTGGCAGTGGCACTGAATATAGCCAATGGGTTTTTTTCATTAATAAAATTATCATGTTTCTCGCATTCTCTAAAAGCAACCTGCATTATTTCTTCCAAATCCTGAATCTCGCCCCAGAGGTCAAAGCAGAGAAGGAATACTCCTCTGTAAAACCGAATGCTGTAAAGCTGCCCTTTCCCAAGTGCCTGTGAGTCATAAGCTTGTCATACAGTCACAGCAATCAATTTGACGTTCTAGAATAGTTATTTTTGGATGATGACAATGTCAGTTATCAGAATCAAAACAAAGCCATATTCTTCCAATTGACGTCCCTACACGTCAGTGCTTGTATCAATAGAAGCTGCATGTAGGGGGGTGATTACGCATATATCCAAGTATGTGGCCCTAAATCTTACAGCATAAACTGAAGAAGAGCATTGGGAGGGCTTGATATTATACGTTCATTTGTTAAGGGTGTGGTCTTAGGCAAATTCTTCCCCCACTTCTAACTATGCAGCTGCCCACTGTTCTGATGCTACAGTTTCACAGCATCACAGATGAAAAGTGGCCAGTCTGCCTATAGCAATGCATTAGCCATAACCTGCATGAGAGCCAAAGAGTGGTGTTGGTGGCAAGGGCTAGAAACTTAGCATTGGTTTGGGTTGCTGGTTTTTTTTAACTAATTATTTGTATTGCAGTAGTGTCTAGGAGCCCCAGTCAGGGACAAGGAACTTATTGTGCTAGGTGCTATACAAAAAGTTGATGGCTTTGGTGCCTCATTCACCAGAGAATGCTTCCTACTCACTGGTAGGGAGTGGATTTTTCAAATACTGGATATTTTACAGAACTAGACATTGCAGTGCTGATTCCAGTACCACTGGAAATTCCTATATGGTTAGGGACCTGCCTATCTCAAGAAACTCCCCCTTTTCCCTGCCATAGGAGGATTCTCTCACTGTAGAAAATCCGAGTTGAATTTGCTTCCCATGCTATTTCAAGCTAGTGCCTGGAGGTCAGCATTTGTGCTATGTAAGGCCCATCTCTTCTGAGGGGGTGGGAGCTAGAGATTTGGTTTATTTGTGTGGGAATTTGACAACAGCCAAGCTGTATCTTTTTAGAGACTGTCACTGCACCAAGAGGCTTGCTGGAATGGAGGTCTTTTACATTCCAGAATACACTGAAAAGGGACCAAAATAGTCTATAGTGCATCAGTCATTGCAGGGATGGATCCTGCTCTGTTTGGACAGCATAGAGTACAAAGGGACCCTGACTCTGACCGGGGTCTTTGGTATTTAAGGGAGACTAGTAATAAATATCCTAATGCGGGAGAATTCATGCCCTGCAGACATTAATATTACTTGATAAGATCTTTTTCCCAGTACGTGCCTGAGTCTCCTATACATTATAAATGGGATTTTCAAAAAGCTCTCAACGTTGGCTGAAGTCAGAGAGTTTTACTATTAACTTAATTGGGAGCAAAGTTGAACCTATCCCCGACTTCCCCCAACAAATGCATTTGCACACCTAGCTTGTCTGATTTTTATGATTGTGCTTACAAATCAGGTAACTGCATGTGCAAGCTGCCAGTGGCAACTGGTGTGTACCATCAAGGACAGATGTGCATGCATTTCTTTCTTCATAGAGATTAGAAGCAGGCCCAGATTAGGTGCAGGACTGGGCCCCAGGTGTCCCTATATTACAGACTGTGTGTACTAACCTCACTGAGTTCCTTGTTTCCACCACACTCTGGTGGAAAGACATGTACTTATGTATTTATACAGACTCCTGAAGATTTCCAATAAAGACAGCTCTGAATCATTGCTTTCAGGTTCCACAGGAGTAAATCCACCCACTTCGGTGTTATTAATGTCAACAAAGGTGTTGTCTTGGGCCCTATCTAATGTTCTGCAGATTGCCTGCTTCAATGCTCCCCCGACTGGTGCATTCTTGGGCCACGTGCTCTAACTCTCTCAGTGCAGTCCACACATGTTTAACAGCAGATTACAGTAGCAATTTTCATTTAGGGGAATAGGCCTTAACTTTGTGTCACTGACGTGTTTGTTTGTTTGTTTTTTATGCAAGCATTTGGGCCTGACAACTCCTTACTCTAATTTACAGGCTTAAAAAAAGATGATAAAAATGATGCACTTTTTCAACAGCAGTCCTTTTGGGATGGATAAGATTTCTAAGGACTGCGTCACTGGAGTAAAGCTGCCTGGAAAACCTTCCACATCATCAGAATCCGAACCAGATATTGTGTCTATTGAATCAGCTGTGGAAGAGACCCAGCCAAAAGATCAGATGAAAACTGAAAGCCAAGGACAAGATTCTGCTCTCGGAGACTCACATGAACCTTCCACTGAAGCCAATGAGAGCTGTCCTCATTCATCTGAGTGCAGAGATAGTCCCAAAAAGAAAAAGAAGGGAATAAAGGGAAAACTAAAAGATGCCTTTTCCAATTTTTGGGGTGGTCAGAAGATAGAGAATCTAATAGAAAACGATGGAGTATTGACAGGTACAGTATGCCAGTTCTATCTACATAAATGGCCACCCCACATCATTAGTGTATTTTATCCGCACAGTGCCCCTCAGGGGTGGGGAAGTATTATCCCCTTTTTACAGGTGAGGAATGGAGGCATAGGTCAGATTAAGTGACTTCCACTAATCTGGAAGTCTGTGGTTGAGGCAGGAATTGGACCAAGGTCTCCCAAATCCAATAGACTATCCCTTCCTCCTTTTAAGCAATTAGTGTTGGGTAGTCTATCTCCAATGTAAATGTCCAACCCTGGTACAGATAACAAACAGGCTTGGCAAAATATGTGTGCGTCTGACCACCAGGATATATGTCTGGAGGCCAAGCAGGTAGGCTGGCCATTCTAGCATCCATACAGCCTCGAGGCTAGCTGGAAACCACCTGTTGTCAGCTGTTACTGGAAGCCACACCATCCCCAAAGCCAGGCTTCTGTAATGGATGTTGTAGCACTGGACAATGATGATTGACCTTTACTGGGAGGGGTATTCTAACATAGCGGCCTCTCCTGTCCAGAGTACAGTGCTTGAAGGAGGATTGGACACTTTGATGCTTACCTACTAGCACCAAGTATTTATATTCTCAGGGTTTGTCTATATGAACACTTAGTTTGTGGTGAGCTGGGGTGTAAATCTACCCCACACTAACCTGCCATGTATGAAGTGTCTGTCTGTGTAGACCTTGCTAGTGTGCACTGTAAATTCCTTAATGCACATGCATTTTGACTTACCCCGCTTTGAAACGAGTGTCGATTCAAGCACATCCTGGAATTTTTAGTGTGCAGCAGCAGGGTCCACATGGACACTTAGTGCGCAGCAGCAGGAGAGATTTATACCTCAGCTTGCTGCACGCTCAGTGTTCTTGCAGACCAGCCTCAGGCATGGCATGGGATGAAAAATCAGTTTTCCCTGCAGTTTCTTGTTCTAGTGTCTGGCTCTTGGTACAACAGCGAGTACTAACAGCTGGACACTAGATTCTGTGTACTTGCCAACTGTTTCTATCATTCTGATCCACAATCCTAGTGGAAATCTAAGTTCAGGAGCAACAACAGTTTGAATTTTTCTCTAATATTGGGACTTCATGTGCCAGGTTTTTTAGTTACTGTTGTATTCTGTTTGCTTATACTCGTTCTTCAAATGTCTTAGTATGCCCGTGATCCATGTGTCGAATTCCCAGTGACATCACTGGGTGTGACATGACTGGAATGAGCAGATTGCCTTCACTATTGGTCAGGGGTACTATTAATGGCCTTTGAATGATTTGTAGTCTTTCTGGTGACTAAGGTTTTGACATTTGTTCCCTCCAAAGTGATCTTTGAGGAGCAAGCGGACACGGGTGAGACCTGAGGATGTATTGTCTCGTTTCCACTCCTCCCCATCCCTTACACACACACATGCACTTTACAAGAAAGAGCACAATTGGCTGAGCTTTTGATGTGTCTGCATACACTTTCCCGTAATCGTCAGCGTTCCTGCTTTTAAGATGCAGGTACTGCTCAGTTTAGTAGCCTGGATCTTTTCTACTGCTAGATGGATGGCAGAGGGTAAAAAAAACTTCAAAACTCAACTGGGATATCTATATCTCTCTATCTATAAGCCCTTAGTAGAACCTCTAGTATTTTAGCATAAAACAGATGGCAGCACATCCAACCCCTGGATTTGTAATACGTTGGCACAGCCTGAGTCACAGTCATGTCTTGCGAGAGAGATGGCAGGAATATTCAGAGATCTCTAAAAGTCACCTGAATGACGCTTTGCAGTGAAGTCTAAGAATCTGCATTAAAAGGGCTGTATAACTGAATGCACTGTAGTATTGTGGGGCCATTTTTGTAAAGAAGATGGGAGCCTCTGTCATAAAGCATTTGGGTACAAAAATTGTTCTTCTTTTGACAGCTGAACATATCAGAGAGCACCTTGAAAGTGACCATTTCTTCGATGCCACACAACAGCTGATTGCTCTGGAGTGGGCCCTCTACAGGAACTTAAGTGGCAAGAGTGAAGAGGAATTGTCAAGGGAGCAAAGCGAAGTGGAATCACTCTATGAACTACTGAGGTGTAAAGTCTTCAGCATCATAAAGAATTCGATAATCCTAGCACCAGCTAATCCAAAGTTACTACGGCATGCTGTGTACGCAATAGAAGAGCAGGAGGTGGAGGATGAGAAATACAAGTCAGAGAAGCCACCTGACAAGATCGTGAGTTACAGACCCAGAAAATGGAGGGAGGTTTGGATGGACACAGTGAAGCAGTCTGTAGCTGATCGTATGAAAGACATCCAGCGCACTAGCTGTGCTGAGAACCTGTCTACAACTGCTCATTGCCTCCTGCACATGGGAAGGACAATGAAAGAGGATATGACAACAGTGGTGGAATGCATTAAACAACATTACCATGCGCAGTTTAACGTGTGCAGCACATATGCAGAATGTTACCACAGCTATTTCTCTTCTCAGCTGCAGCAGATTGCTGACTTTGAACTGGGAGATAAGGACACATATCTCCTCCTCACTTGGGTGCAGAACCTTTATCCAAAGTAAGTGGTGATTATATCTATATGTTTCTCACTAGAGTTGACTGATCTGCATTCATGTATTCCCAGATCATACATGGATGGGGCCTATTATCACTTAGTCCATTATCTTTGGTGGTTTTGCCAATAGCAGATTTTGGATTGTAGATTCCAGAACTAGTCAGTAAAGGTGATTTCTCTCTCTGGACATTTAGAGATGGTGTCTGAGCAAAGTGCATCCTAATAAGAGAACACTTAGGCTTGGTTTAAACTTAAAAGTTATGTCAACACAGCTGAATCTGACAGGGGTGTGAAAAAACCACACTCCTCACCAACATAGCTATGCTGACAAAACCCCTATGTAGATTGAGCTATGTTGACAGAAGATGGCTTCTGTCGAGGCAGCGAACATTGTGCAGGGAGGTGGTATTCCTATACCAACCGAAAAAGTCCTTTAGTCCGTGTAGGCTGGGTGTACATGAGAGGGCTTTGCTGACACAGGCTGCATGGTGTAGACATAGCCATAGAATAGGGGATATTTATGGCAAAATCCTTCCCTTGCTGTAAGCAGGCACACGGGGAAGTGGGTATGTCTTAGGAATCCATCTGAAGGTGTATGAGCCATCCTGCCAGCGCAGGATGGACAACGGCAACTGGGAGACACTCTACAGCATAATTTACTGCTGGTCCCAGAAAGGAGCAGGGTTCACCCACCTTTAGAGCAGGCTCCATGTTGCAGCATGTGTACAAGACACCTAGGGGTTACATCACACCCCATGCTAGCAGACCATACCGCTCTGCAGGCTGGTGAGAACTGGCAGGTGGGCCTTCTCCTAGTGCCTTGTGGCAAGTGCTGCCATATGGATGTGTGCACCCTCATGTGCCCCCATCAGTCACACCCGCATGGCCCAGGGCAGGAGTTTGCCTGCAGTGATTAGCAATGTACAGCATCAAGTACAATTTTTACAGTATCCAATTCAGAGAGTAATTTTGAAACTCAAACACCTCTTGGGTATCTTGACAGCCATGCCAGGTTATACACTGTAACTTAACAGCCTGCAGGTCGCAGAAGATGCCTCTCTGTCTATGCTCTGTAGTGGATCATTTGCCACCATGTACAGTTACACTTTAACACCATGCTCCTGTGCACTGAGTCATGCCAATTACACTCCATTGCTCTTCAGCCGATTCAGCGGGCATCTAAGTAGTCAGGGAGTCCCCTCACCTGTCCCTGTGGCTTAAATACATAGGATGGTATTTCCCAGGTCTTGTACTGTGTGGTCCTTGGGCCTGACGCTCCACTGATGTAAATCAGCATAGCTCTGTTGGCTCCAACGATGCCCACATATTTATGTGTAAGTTGGCTTCGCTCCACTGATGTCAAGTACATGGCTGATTTTTGGAATCAATGGTGCTATGCTGATTTACCCCAGCTGAGGACCTGGCCTGAAATCAACACCTGCCGTTTATTCTAATCCCATGGGGAGGATTTTTCACTTCCCCTCAGAGTGCCACAACAGCAATCTTTCAGCCCAGTGGGGCTGGAAGGGGGTCAAGTCCATTGCTGCCACTCTTTAATCAAATAGCTCACTGCATCCAAAAGCCTGGGAAGGCTCCCTGTCCTGATCACCCCTCCAGCTGTGCGACTGAACTCTTCCAGATTCTCCTTCTCCAGCCCAGTCACCTCCTCCTGGGGCAGTGAAGGACCTCTTTTCCTTGTGGTCCCTCATTCAACTGCAGGCCTGTGCTCCTGAGAAACACTATGTGAAGTCATCTGGGAGGGTGGAGCATGTTGCTTAGGCATTACCTACAATCCCTGTGTACCTCCAGAGGGTATGTCTACACCGCAGCTGGGAGGTGTAATACACAGCTCGGGTAGACATACATGGGCTAGCTCTGCTCGAACGAGCCCTAAAAGTAGCAGTGTGGGCAGTGGCTCAGATTAGCCACCTGAGTACAAGCCCACCCGGCCCCGGGGGTACAGCGCAGGAAGCTAGCCCATGCCATGCCACTGTTTGTGCCACTCTGGCCCCCGTGCTATTTTTAGCATACTAGCTTGAACAGCTTGTGCATGTGTGTCTAGCCACACTGGGAATCGCATCACCCAGCTACTTTGTAGACACTCCCTGAGTTAGGAGGGCAAGGACTGGAACCCAAGTCCAGCAGAGCATTAGCCAAAGGACTGTTATCAGGTCAAACCACCCCATGTTTTGTAAAACTCAACTCCTCTATAGCATTAGACAAACCAGTTGCTCTGCTGTTAGATATGTTTTGTGAAGAAGTCTTGTTTCTTATCACAAACTGTAAATACAAAAGCTGTGTTACTTTATTTTAAAACCCAAAAGTCTTTTCTTCCTAAGTGCTGCTTTGCTGTAAGATGATTGAACTGAGGTTGATTTTAGAATTTTTCCAAAAGCGCTGCTGCACTCGGGCTCGAAATGTTGATAGGCTAGCCACGTTTTAACTACTTTCATAAGGTGCAACGTGTGATTAAATTGGTATTGCTAAATATGGATGAGAGACTTTGCAGACACCTTCCCTAAGACTGCAGAGACGGTCAGTGTTTCACGTCCAGCCTAACCTACTTCCCATGTTAAACACACCAACCGTGCAGTGGGGGAGGGTACACTGCGCAAGGCGCTTGCCTACCACTGGTAAATGAGGATATATAATGTCCCTGGGCATTTCATAGAACACCACAGGATATGTACACCAGGGATGAATTTACCCCAGTGGGTTGAAATTCTACAAGCAAGTCCGTTTTTCCATACACAAAACCCTCACCGTGTCTTATCACTCTGAGTGACTTTATTTGAATATATGGAGATGTAAACCAGATGACTGTAGATTTCCTCTGTGAAAGATTCTCCTCAAACCATGCCTCTCACCTAACAGCCTGAGTGAAACGTAGTGGTCACCTTTAGCAGAGGGCAGGCTTCTGGGCCCAGAGCCTGAGCTGATTCTAAGGAGTGCTCCGTGCAGCTGAGGAGAAGGAAGATGTAGACAGTTGGCCTTAAAGTCATCATTGTGCCTCCCCTCCCACCCATGATTCTGGACACTGGTTGCTCCCCTCACAAAAGAGGTTTAAGTTAGTTGCCTATGGCCCCAACGGGCCATTTCACCTGTCAGGGAACAGCAGAGTGGAGAGAATCCTTGGCCAGGCCTCCTGCAGCAGGCAATAGGAGATGCAGCAGCACGGGGAACCACAACAGTGATTCATGTTGCCTCAGGTTCCCCTTGCACTGGGTGAACCCTCCTGCAGCTGGCTACACAAGTTTTAGGGCAACTTTGCAACAGGGAAGCAGCACAGCTCTGATCCCTAGACGTTTAAAGGTGCAGCACACAGGGGGGGAAAAGAACAAACCATGCAAGCCTCCCTCAGCATATTGCATTCAGAAAAGTTCTGGCATAAGCCAAAATACGTGGCTTTGTTTTGAAAACCGATTGGGTGGTTTCAGGAGTAATTTGGGGAGGGGAGAATCAGACAATGTTGTTTCAGTGCTCCAAACCACTGGATTAGGGTAGTTATCTAGAACACTGGCTATTTTCTTATACAAATGCCCTATGAAGGATAAACCGTAGAACTGAGTGTACGTTTTTGACTGAACTTTTTTCAACAAAAAATGCAGATTCTGCACCTTGGTCATCTTCCCCACTCAGCTGTGCCTGACACAGCACTACTGCTGCTAAAGATCTGGCAACAAGTTTCTGAAATTGTAGAAAAGCAGCCCATGGATTGTTGCTAGTAGTACAATGTGGTATTTGTGAAGTGATGGTTCATCTATAAATGTGGACATTGGGTAAATCACTAACATTACTCACTGCAGTTCAAAAGGGTAAGGCCAAATTTGCAAAACCTGCCCTAAGTGTAAGTCTCCTTTGAGGCTGATGGAGTCATTCCACATTGACGCCAGGGTAGCAGCCTATTTCTGCCTCCATGTCAAGCCATCAGTCCTCCCTTCAATAGGTATTTCACAGAAAGAATAATAGCAGGATATGAGACACCAAAAGCCAATCTTTTAGAGATTGAAATTTTAAAAACAACTGCTTGTCCAACATTACTTAATCACTAAAACCCAGTGTCCCATCAGATAATTCAGCTATTGAAAGAGGAAGGGTTGCTTTTATTTTCACTGCTTTGAATTCTCCCTTTCCCACCAGACCTCAACTGCTGGCACAAAACTCAACTCCTGGTTCCATTTAGGCTAGAACACTTCTGCACTGTTTGAATTCCCACAGCAAGCTGTACCAGTGTCCGTTATTGTTTAGTGGCACGAACAAACTATAACTGGAAACTTGGGCTACAAAGCCTGGGCGCTGCCTCCTTTCCTCCAAGGCCTGCCTGCGTTTAACGGCAACACATTTTTACATCTGGTTTTCACTGATTTCTTTAGCAACGTTAGATTTATGTAAACCAACTGTCTTTAATTACACTGACTCTACGAAATGTGGTTGTTTGTTTGTTTGGCTTTTTCATTCCAGTGACATAAGAAAAAATTCCATTTTAGTGAAAGAGTTGGATGAAGCCAAACTGGGGAGCCTTTTGCCACCCAAAATGATCAAACAGCTTGAAGCTACATACTTGTATAATGAAGCGGTGAGAGTCTGTTCATTCCTTTCTTACCTTTATTTCTGTGACACACCTTAGTGAAGCTTTATTTTGTCCAGGGCACAGTTACTGTGCATTGCTCTGCTCTCTGCATCATTTTACATACCTTTCAAGATCAGACATGTTAGCTCAACCTCGCTAAGCGGGTGGGAAATGAATCATGTTCTCTCTTGCACAAAGACCTACATAACAAAATGCTGTTGTCTTCATGCTCAGCCCAGCCTACGAGCCTTGGGGGCTGCATGGCTATTTACACAGTAAAACAATTGTTGATCACTTTAGATAAGCTATTACCAGCAGGACAGTGGGGTGGGAGGAGGTATTGTTTCATATTCTCTGTGTATATATAAAGTCTGCTGCAGTTTCCACGGTATGCATCTGATGAAGTGAGCTGTAGCTCACGAAAGCTCATGCTCAAATAAATTGGTTAGTCTCCAAGGTGCCACAAGTACTCCTTTTCTTTTTATCCTAGCTCTGAAAGCCTTACCATAAGAGGGAATAAACAGTCAAAGATTTTTTTGGACCCAGTTTTAAGTAAAGCATGGAGAGAGGGCTCAGTTCTCCTCTCCTAGCCACGTATGTCCAGTGTAGCTCTAGTGGCATTACTCCTGACTTATGTGCTGTTCTCAGAGGAGACTCGTACCCACAGCATTTGTGAAAGCAGGTTGGGTGCATGCAAAGGTGTGCAACTGTGCAGACCTGCTTTTTGAAAACCTGGCCCTTAACTGTACTGAAGAATCTTTGCAGAAATGGCAGAGAGGCTGTTATTCTTAGGTTGTCCCCCCGCCCTCCCAAAAGACCTCAAATGGTGACCATTCTAGTAATCACAGTGCTTAGAACCTTTTGATCAGTCAAAAACATCAGGCTAGAATTCCTGGAGACTTGTAAGTAGAAAGGAAGTTCAGTCTGGATTCCAGTCTATAATCCCTTCCAGATGTGAGCTGGGACAGGCAAGTTGTTGAGCAAACAGAATGCAGCAGTAGCCTCTCGGTGCTAATTACTGTATGCACTGTGCGGCTCTGCAGTTATCCATGTCAGGAGCAGGAAGGGTCAGCGCTGAGAAGCAGCCACTATATGCAGCATGCTTCTCCTCCCAAACTGGCAGCTAGTCAGGTGCAGATGTGCCCAGAAGACTGTGCTGCTTTTTGTAGCATTAACTTCTGCACTCTGGGTGGTAGAGGAGCCATGAGGGAGACTGAGCAGGACCCACAGCACTGGAGCTTCCATTTCCCATTCCCCCGGGAATTGGGGGCAATATCCTGTACACCCTCCAAGCCTCTCCCTGACGAAACATTAATTGGAAACACTGCAATAATCTTCACGTTCCAGAGTTCTTGGATGCCCTCCCCTGAGCTAAGCACAGGAGGGTACAATATAGTCTTGAATAAAGACGGCAGGATTGGGCCTTACGGGTATAGGGTTTTTACATGGTACCGTCTGAGAGACTCGTGTAACTGGCAGAGAGTAGAGTTTCAAGTTCCTAGCAGGATTTGATGTAAAATTCCGTTAGGCCAGACAAATTACATGACTGACCAGTAAAATGTAGCCCACGAACTGTGAGCACTAAAAACCATGTACATGGGCTGTGGTAAATGTTGTTTCTTTTCCTTCATTCTGTCAAGGCTTCTGTCAAGAACTGGCTGGCCAAGAGTTTAGAAATGGAAGTAAAGAGGTGGACAGAAGAGAAAGAACCGGAAAAACTGGATGGACGTTTTCATAGTGAATTAGCCATAGATGTCATCCAGGTAACAGAAATGCACTGAAGTGCATTGTTTTACTTGATCCAGGATATATTTAAAATTAAATAACTGTCATGAAGGTATTAGGATTTGAAACTAAGTACAATCCAGTCAAGAAGCTCTAGATATCCAAATAAAGGGAAGACCATGTAATCCTATGGAAAAAATCTCTCTAGGTATTTATGACATCATTATAGTATCTCTGCACGTCCTAACTATCAATAGATTTTTATCCTCAATACCCCTGTGAGGTAGGGAAGTGCTGTTAGTCTCCCTGTACCTCCAGTCCCCATCTGTCAAATGGGGATTGGAGGTACAGGGAGACTAAGTGAGTTGCCCAAGGTCTCACAGGGAGGCTATACCAGAGCAGGGAATTGAACCCAGCTCTCCCACAGCCCAGACCAATGTCCTATCCACTAGGCTTGCCTCAGTAAGAGGCTGTGGGTTGATTCCGTGGGTGGTTATCTATTAGGGACTAGCAGGTCCCTCTGCTCCGCAGTCCTGGGAAACTCCTCTTCCCCACACCTCAAACATGTTGAGGGGGAAAATCCTGCCGTTGTTTGACATGACAAAAGGGAATGCATGTGTGTAACCAAAACTGAACCAGTAGGACCTCTTGTACACAAATGAGCAAAATAGCAGTTATTTGTTGAGGAACTTGGCTGAGTTTCAGGTTGTGTTAGACAAATCAACTCTTGTCCTTCATCTTTTCTTGGGTAGGACTCTCTTCCCTTCCCCCCCCCGGAGATGATTAGAAGATATTTTTCAAAAAGTGTGTGTGTATTATTTTATATATATATATATATATCATTTGACACTCTGTTCACACTTTTTCTTCCTCTGAATTGCTATTTAGTGTCTCCTTCCTCTTCATCTATGTTTTTGATTGAAATCAGAGGGTGCAAATATTGCATTATTGTCCAAAATAAGTACAGTTCCATTGCTTATTCCTAGGACTGGCAGTGTGGTCCAGCAGCTAGGACCCTGTGCTGGGACTCAGGAGAGACCAGCATTCTGTTCCAAGCTCTGTTGTGTGACTTTGGACAAGTCACGGCACCTCTCCCACTTCTCCACCATCTTTAGTTATAGGCAGCTAAAGCAGGCAGCTGCCACTGGCTCTTGCTTTGTGTTTGTGCAGTGCCTATCGCATTGAGAACTAATCTCTTCTAACACCAATGACTAATAAGAAATCCGCATCAGCCACCTTAGCAACTCTCCTGTGGGTTGTTTTTGGCGGGAGAGGGTTGTTGTAGAAGTTTGAAGTTGACCAATGTTCAATTTTATGTCTTAGACTATTCATGGAGGACAAAAGCGAGCTGCAGAAATTACACCTGAACTGGGCAACCAACTGTCCATCGTACTGTTGGTGGAGCTGTCAACATTTTTGAAAAGGTACAATAACAAGCTGTTGCAGGATACAGCTTTCTAAGCGCAAGAGTGACATCCAGTTGCAAAGTTACTGATCATGATTTCTTCTTTCAATCTCTCCCTTTAGCTACAAGAAAGCCTTAGAAGAATTTAAAGAGAAAAACAAGCAGCATGGCTATTTCAAGGCTATGATAATTGCAAATATTAACAACTGCATGAATTTTAGGTAAGAGTCACAATGAAAATGCTTAACTTGTTGCTTTGTAATCAATCCGGGTGACTGTAGCTTTTGGAGGTAAAGAGCATTTCAGCAGCAAACACACTGAAACCTTTAATTGTATTTAATATTTATATACAGATTTAGAGAGAGAGAAGCTACAGTGCAACTTCCAGGAGCTAATATCCAAAATGCTTAATCAAATATTTACATTATATACTTGTCACCCTAATTATTTAGCTAGTGTAAATTAGCATTGCTCCAGGGAACTCATTCATGTGTCATTTTGGAGCAGCTGAGAACCCCACCCAAAGATTTTCGGCTCATAAAATAGTCCTATTATTCCAGATTTCAAATGTTCCTACTGAGTGCAAATTCTGACAACATAGGGGTCATGGAATCAGAATACCAGGGTTTCATTCTTTGTTCTTACACTGATTGATCATGGACAAGTCATGAGTCTCCAAGTACCCATCTGTAGAACAGATATGCACTTGGGTTAAAAGAAAAGTGCCATTTGATTATTTAGGAACAAGCAGTTTCATGCTATTAGACAATTTCCACAACTGCATTTTCCTTTATCCAAGCTGTGCATCATTAAATATTTTGCTACAAAACTAAGGTACCTTCTGGCTCTCCTAACAGAGTGGAGATATTATCTGTTATTTTCATAAAATAACTGAAAAACAATAGACTGAATCCTGTGTGAGAGGTCAGAGCCTGAGTCAAACTGTTCAAAAGGCATAAGGACATAGGTGCCGAGTTTCTATTCTGCTGGGGGATGCTGCCCCTGGCTCCGCCCAGGCCCTGCCCCCACTCCACTCCTTCCACCAATGCCCCACCCCTGCCCTGCCTCTTCCCACCCAGTTCTGCCCCCTCCGCAAGCGCACTGCACCCTGGCTCCTCTCCCCTCCCCGCCAGTATCTCCCAACGCCACAAAACAGCTGATCGGTGGGAGGTGCTGATCTGTGGAGCTGCAGGTGGATGGGAGGCGCTGGGGGAAGGAGAGGTGTCGATGTGGGGGCTGCCAGTGAGTGCTAAGCCCTCACCATTTTTTCCCCTATGGGTGCTCCAGCCCCAGAGCATCCATGGAATCGGCACCTATGCACAAGGCTGAGGAACTGAATCCTACGGCCCAGCCTGTAGTAGCCAGTGTCCACCAGGGCCACAGGAAGGAGCATCAGATATTGCCTGTTGCCACTCATTTCATGAGGGTTTGAGTCCATGTATCTGCACTGTGTGCCCCGTGAACCTGCTACAGCTCAGCTCACCCACAACTTCATTCCTGCACTCCTATGCCAAGAACTGCCATCAAGCTGGCAAGGAGGTATGGAGTTCCTGCAGTGGCCAAGTCCCATGTAGCAGGGGATGTCATTTCCACTGCAGTTTGGCCTTTACGTGGGGCAATGGCAGGGCTTGTTGAATCTGCCCTTTTGCCATCCACATATGCAGTGATAATTTACATGCACATCCAATAATAGAACAATTGCCAGACAGACAAATTAAAAAGTCATCGTCATGTAATCAGTATCCCTCCCACTAACACTGACCATCACTTCTACTCTAAAACATAGAAGCCACTCAGAATTCTAATTTACTTTTTGGGTAATGACAAAAACTTGATGTCCTGGTGCTAAGTTGCATTTACGGACCTATTAACATCTGCTTCTCCCACTAGCGTTCCTCTTTTTGTGTAACGAATCTCTTCCTGCATCTTGTTTCAGAGACCACACGGAGAAAACCACGACATCAGCACAAGACAGCACCAGATTGAAAATACTTGCTACGCTTCGTGAAATAGAGAACAGTGGCTATGATGAACTGCTTCAAGATTTGTTTCTGGAGTTAAAGGTAACCTGTGTGAAGTACATGAATAAATACCAAGCATCTAGGGATGTAATTGTCTCCTATGAAATAGTCCTGTAGAGGAAAAGTCTAATATGGTACTGATTTGATTTGGGACAAAAAAGTAGGGTCAACATAATTTTCCCAGAATACTTTTTTTGGGGGGGATGGAGGGAGGGAGGGGTGTGAAACTCACGGCAACCCAGTATTCCAGGGTTTGTACTGCACATCAGAGTATCTGAGCACATTACTTCGCTGAGGTCGTCATCATCATGCTGTCTTTATCAAAGCAATGAATACACACTCCAGGTTGGTTGATTTAACTGAATGGGAAGTTTACAGTCTAAAGAAAAATCTGAGCTTTTCTCAGCTATTAGAGGGGGTCCACAACCGATCACGCCCAAACTTGGGAAGAGATCAGAGCCAGATCTGAACTTCAAGTCTCAGCCCCCACCTTCATTATTTAAAACTCAGTTGGTTCCCAGTGTTTTAGTTCTCAATCCCGAAAACAAATGTAACTTAACGAGCCTGAGTACTGTAGTCCCATTGAACTAACGGGGACTCCTCACATGTGCAACATTACTTACATACTTGTCTGCAGCAGCAGGGCCTTTTCCTGTAAATTCCTGGGGATAGGACACATATCTAAAGATGATCTGTGAAGCATTTAAAATTGGACTTATTCACTTTTTGGCTTCTGGGCTCTTCCTTTCTTTGAAATAAAAGGCTTTTCTCCACTTCTTGTTTCTAATTAAAGAAACATCAGGATTGTCAAATCTCATCTTCCCTGCTTTTCCTCGAGGACCTCTTGGGAGGTCTCAGGGATGTTCATTGTGAACTCAAACCTTAACTGAGAGGACCAAGGAGGGTGGACTCTTAAGGAAGACAACCTCTCTCCAGTGTCATTATTGGGGTTTTTTTTTTGGTAAATATCTATTTAACTTGCAACAAAATACAATTTCTGATTAAAATCTCTTCCCTCAACTTTCATTCCCTTGGAACTCAATGCCATCAGTCCTTATCAGTCATCATAGAGTAGACAAGATGCAAAATTCTAATTTAAGAAATGGAAACAGAAAGATTGTTTTTAATTTAAGCCCTTTAGGGCCTCTATCCTGTTCATCAGAAGGAAGCAAAGAAGGGCACAAGTCCCATTCACCTCTTCTCCTTTAGCAGGCCATCTTTAATTTCTCTGTACAGCACCATGCACACCTGTTGTATAAGATGTTAAATCTCTACGTACATATTTGCATTTAGACTTTGCTTTGCAGAAGCTGAACAGCATGTTTTTTCCTCAGCCTATTTTTAGAAAGTTCACACAAAGTAAATGGCTTTCGTGCAGTGAAACGATGGATGAAATCATTCAGGTCACCAGGAACCACCTTTCAGAATTCAAGACTCTCCTCGACCCCTTTTACCAGGTAAGGTCAAAGGGAGACATTGAAAGAATTCTAGGAAATCCAAGCTTGGCTTGTCAACTAGGGACCATTGTGACGCTCAGCTATATGGACTCACTTCGGTTTGGCAAGGGGACTGGGTGGGCATGTTGGCAAGTGCCAGCTTAACCCCATTTAAACTGGAGAGTTTTCACAATTGCGAATCCCACCCCCAAGGAGGGATTTCCATTACTGTGCAGATTACCTAAATCATGCCAACTCCTATCCATCAAAGCCAGATTCACGTAGCTCCTTCTTACCCTGGTTTCTTCAGCATGATGGCCAAACACATTAGAGAGGCTTCAGTGTTCAGGCAGCTCTTCAGAATAAGGCCTTGTCTACACCAAGGATCTTGGCTGTTGGTCCTCCAGCCCCAGCATGGCTGCACATGTGCAAATTAGTTTAGAGTGGCTTTGATAATCCTAAGTATTTGCAGGGGTGATTGCAACAGGAGCCAATCTCAAGAACAGGCCAGGTCTAGATGCTGTGATTTGCAGTGCAAGCTTCTATCCTCAGCCAAATCCAAGGCAATTTTAAGTGTCCAAGTCCATATTTCTTGTGGTTATACAGCAAGCCTCAAATAGGACTATGTACAGTCCCCATGTAAGAATTCTGTTTCCTGCTTTTGTCTCACTAATATCTGAACAAATTCAGTAATATATGTAATCAAATAGGGGACCAGGAGGAGTTGAGGCATATTCCTGTTTCCCTACGATATTTCTACCTCTCATGCTTCATTTTTCAAGCATCACTCATTGCCAATAGGAAATCCCCATTCTGGAAAAGAGCCAATTCCCAGACATCATTGGCTTTGCTTACGAGGGGCTGGGAGGGTTTGTGCACTGGGTAGAACAGGACTCTAGACCAGCCAGTAATAGGGAGGTGAGTGAGTACTTCGGAACTAATGAGACTCCAGCATGGCTGTCCAGGTGTAACTGAGGGTGGGAATTTGGCACACCATGTTTTAGCATCGGAACCATATTGCCTTCGATCCACATGTACAAACAGGGGCTTAACGCTGTTCAAAGGTGTCCCAAACAAAAATTCGAAACAGACCCCACCCTTTCCCAAGTTCACCTATGCTAAAAATTCAAAACAGATCCCACCCTTTCCCTGAGTTCCCTTATGCTAGCCCAGGCCATCCTCTCGTCCTGTGGTGAATGTCACCTCCATTCCCTTTCTTTCCTCCCCTAACTCATCCAGTTCCAAGACTGCTCTTGACTGTTCCTTGATGGCTGGCCTTAGAAAGAGGCTGCACATCTGCAAGTCCTCTGGGTGAGTGGGCAGGAGCTGTTACCTTCTCTAGGTGTTCGCCTCCTGCATCAGCTCCACCAGGGACAACTGTAGAACTTGGGACTGGGAGCAACTGAAAAGAAATTCCCCAAGGTTGTCCTCTCTGTGACAACAGTGGGAGCAAGTCTGTTAGAGGTGAGGGAGGATTGTCCCTCTGTTGCTACTCTTTGGAACCATCTGAGTCTCTATTCCCTGCCCATTCCTCCTGTCAAGTCAAAGGCGAGTGCTTGGTGCTTCATTGTAACTCCACTTCTTCCCCAGTTGCAGGGCTCAGCCCCTGTGTCCCCACCCCTCACCAGCACTGGACTTGGATACACAATAGGAGGGGGCTATGGGGCCCTGTATGTAAGTGCCATTGAGATAAGGGGCAACTCTATGCCAGATGTCAGACATCTGGCATAATCTGTAGCCCTCGCAGTGGGTTCCATGCATATGATCCTACTGAATTAATTCCCATTTCCCCTCCCCAACAGGGCATTATGGAGAAGATTCATAGTCACTTGGTGAGAGAATACATTGTGAGGCTAATGAAGAAGAAAGTCAGCTTGAAAACCCCAGAACTACAGCAAAACTTGTCAAAACTCATTTCAGCTCATGCCTCCCACTTGCAGAGCTTCTGCAAAGAAAAGGTTAGTGTTGGCTCATCATGTCCACTTTAGAACTTAGTCCTATGAACTTCTGAAAGGAGTTTTCTTCAGCCTCTAGGATTAATTCTTCAAATGCTATTTAGTTTTTGCAAGTGGATGTTAGACTGAAGGGGAGTTTTCCGAGACTAGGGGTGGGTCAAGTTGGAATATATGCCTGGGGACTGAAGGTTACACAGTTTACAAGGAGCAGCAAAAGGGCTGCCAAGTACAATGCTGATATCCCACTTTCTCCTGATTTCATGCAATTGGTTCCTTTCCTGTTATGCTCAGTTTGCACGGATTTAAGTTTCTTTATCTAATAGTTCTCTATTGTAATACCAAGGTGCTTCAGTTCTGTGGCATAAATACATACACTGGGTATGTTTTGCATGCAACTTTCCCCTTTATTTCCCTGGACTCTGTTGCTTTTAGTCTAGGCTGGGTCTGGAAATGCCAGTATTTGTTTTCAGAACAGTGTATTGGGTAAGGGAATTAATGATCAACTCACACTTGTTTAATCTCAATCCTATCCCTCCTTTCATGGCTCTGCAGTGAACCCAGGTGGCAGGGGGGACGGTGACTATGAAAAGCAGGTGGTGTGGGAGGGAGGTCCAGACTCTTCATAGGTAGGGTTTCCAGCAACTGGAAAGCAGGTCTGCTTCGGGCTTTTTTTTTCAGGGGAATAAGGGAAGGGGTTTAGCAGATAGTAGAGAAGTCAAAGATCTGGCACACATCCACGGATGAAACATGCACCTGCCACGTAGGTTAGGTCACTGCATATCTCCAAGGGTAACCAGCAGATTAAGTAGCTGAGAAGAAAATCATACTGGGGAGTAGCAGGTAGGCCAGCAGCTAGGGAAGAGTGATTTGAGTACAGCTTAGAGAACAAAAATCTAGCTAAATAAGTTTTTCAAAGTCTGGGCACGGCTAAATCCAGTTTAGAACAATGTCTCTGAAAACTATAGGGCATCATTTCTAATTACTGCTTAGTTCCTTCCTTGATAGCCAACCCAACTGTGTTAGAAACTGGTTTAGCTGGTTTAGCATATTTAAACAGCGTTTCTTGATTATGTCCCCATCCCATGCAGATGAGGTTTTGTATTCCCAGTGGACCTGTATTACAGACTGTTTACTCTAGTTACTTTTTTCTAATAGGGGTCTAAGGCCACATGGTTGGATTCTGCACTCCCAAAACTGGCTGAAATAATCATACTTCAGGATTCAAGTGCCATTAAAATAGAAGTTGCTATACTTGCTAATACATACCCAGATATCAGGTAAGAGGTACTGAAGAATATTTGTGAACATTAATAGGAACGTCCACAGTAGTTCCATGAAGATACTTGAGTATTAGATGAAAAGCAGCTAGTTTGTGAGCACCAGCTTTTCTAGATCAGGTTCAAGCACTTCAAGGCCTGCTACAAAGAGAGCAGAGAGTTCATCATCCATGCTGAGTGCCTAGGAACACCACTGTACGTTGGGTAACAACTCCCCTTTTTAGCAAGGTACAGTTCAGAGATCTTGATAGGAGGTATTTTTTTCCCCCTAAATGTTCCTGATCTCTTTTCCAAAAGACAGATCCAAGTTCCATAATTCAGCGGTGCCACCACTGATTTTATAGGTCCGACTAGGTGTCCTCCACTCCACCCTTCAACATGTAATTTTTTGTGACTGTTTGTTTGGCTGGTGACCCATCAGCTGAAATAAGCTGTGTTAAGCAAGACACCATCTAGAATCTACACATTCTGAGCCAGGTATCTGGGGGGGTAGCCGTGTTAGTCTGTATCCACAAAAAACAACAAGGAGTCCTCTGCCACTTTAAAGACTAACAGATTTATTTGGGCATATCTGAAGAAGTGAGATTTTTACCCACAAAAGCTTATGCCCAAATAAATCTGTTAGTCTTTAAGGTGCCACCAGACTCCTTGCTGATTCTGAGCCAGGTCTCTCCTCTTCGTGTCAGCTGAGGGTGGGGGATGGTGCAGTGGTCAGGGTGCTAGCCTGGGACTTGGGAGACCTGGATTATATTCCCTGCTCTGCCACAGACTTCCTGTGTAACCTTGGGCAAGTCACTTAGCTTCTCCATGTCTCAGTTACGATCTACAGAATTGAGATTGAATTATTTGTATTACCGTAGTACTTAGAAGTCTCACTCATGGAGCAGAACCGCATTTTGCTAGGTGCTGTATAAACACAGAACAAAAAGACAGGCCAGCACTTCCCCTACCACACAGAGGTATTATGAGGATAAGGACAAAGGACATTAAAGACCTTTAGGTGCTCAGATGATGGGGCCACATAAAAACCTAAGATAGTGCCACTCTGTGTATCTAACACTGGATCTTTTCTGTTCCCTAGCAAAAAGCACCTTGCTGCCATCTTGTACATCAAGGGAAACTTGCCGAACAGTGAAGTAAGAAGCATCCTGAGCATCCTAGATATCAGCACAAAGTCCACCACTTCCTGTGAACCACTGTTCTCAGCTATAAGGATTTCCTAGGCTTGATCCCAGCACTCATACTCTATGGGACTATTTGCTAAACTAGTAAAAGTCACAGCATGGGGCCAGATTCAGCAGGCCTCATGCATGGGCCATGCAGCTAACCAGTGCATCAGCATTTCTCTGCTGAAGTCCTTTTTTGTCATTGTAAGATTGACTCCCCTGTGGGAAGAGATTTGCTCTGTGCTTAGCTACAAAGGGATGGAATCTGATAGAGGGGTTGTGGCCTAGTTCTCTGAACAGCAAACAGAGCTCTCAAATCAGACACTGACTCCCTCTGAGGTCTCAGGCATATCCCACTATGCCTCAGTTTCCCCCTGGGTACAGTAGTACTCCACTCACTTCCCAGGAGCATTGCAAGTATTACCTAGCTAACTAATTATTTAGATAAGATCTATAAAGCATGGCTTGTCCTCTGTGGAGGAAGAGGCTCTTTACATTTCATTTTTTTCTTCCAAAAGCTTAGCAAAGTGATTGGGAAAAAAATAATTTCAGAGCATGCTCAGTAGAAATCTGATAGGTTTTCTTTTTAATCAGAGGCTACGAAGCTGCATTTTCTATTAGATCAGTAAGATGTGGTGAAGGGGTCAGGAAGGAACAAAGTCTGTCCTCAGGCTAGCTTGCAGGAACAGTTTGGATAAGGAAAGTTTTAAAGGGTCTCATTGAAAGTTGTGACTGCATGTGTTTCAAAAAGTGAAATTGCCTTATCATGGACAAGAGAAAAGTCACAGCACAGAAAGCTGCCAATCTTGGGACTTCAGGAGCTTTCTGCATTTTGTAAAATCCAAATTTTAATTTTTTTAAAAATCTAGGTTTCTGCACCTTCCTTTTGTGAGGCTACAGTCAGCACAGTGTAAACTGATGGGCTGCTTCCCAGCTAAGCAAGCCTTGCAGAAAGCATTCCCTAGCTACACCATAGCAGCCAGCCAAAGGTGGGACTTTATCACTCCTATACCCCATTCACCTCCATGAGGTGTGAATTTCTAAGCCTGCTTGGCAAATTAGCATCCAGTCCTGCAAGTGCTTTGCACGCAGAGCTCCTATCCGAGTTCTGTGTAGGATTGGGATTTTAAGTGCTCACATTTCTGACTTTCTCCTGTTTATATTCAGTAGTTTTCCAGTGCTATAGATTAAGGGTTTCTATAGCTAATTATACATTGTAATAGTTGTAGCCTAAGGCCCCAATTCAGCAAAGCACTTACCTTGCTTACATCCACAACATTCAGCAAAGCATGCATTTCAGTTCTGTTGCTTTCAATGGGATTTGAACATGTGCTTTAAGTGTTCAGGGGCCTAACTGCATAAATGCAACACACATTTTGTGTTGTTTTATATAAAATCTCTCTCTCTCAGTTGCCCTCTATCCTGCTGTTGTTGGTCTAGACTAGAGCTGGAAATACTAATCTTGAGTATGTTTTGAAAGCAAGTTTGTTTTCAAGACAATCTTTTAGCCAGAGAATTACCTAAATATCCAAGTTGTTGAATCCCAAGACCTTTACCCTCTGTAGCAAACTGTAGAAAGCTCATCTGCGAGGAGGATGAATGACTATGGAAACTGTGAAATGGCAGTTGCAGACAAAGCATACTGGCATTAACGTCCCTATAAAACCACCTTTAAATGTGACCACAATTTGTGTATGCTGCATATAAGCTTCTGCTTTCTAACCCTGAGGTTGTATTCCCACAGGTGCTTGTAGGTCACTGGTGTATTTTAGAATCCAATTTTACTTTCTCTAATTAGTTATCTTTGTATGTAATATTTATATTTAAACAATTTTAAAATTATGCTGGAAATGTAGCTGACTTACCTCTGGTTGTGTGTATGTACCATAGGCATGGGTAACCCTGTGGTATTCCTTCAGAGATGATTCCCCTACTACTTGCACCCTGATGAATGTTAGGTTAGGGTTGCCAACTTTCTAATTGCAGAAAATCCCACCCCTTCTCAGAGCCCCGCCCCGCCCTTACTCAATCCCTGCTTCCTCTGTCACTCGCTCTCCCCCACCATCACTCGCTCGCTCATTTTCACCAGGCTGGGGCAAGGGTGTGGGAGGGGGTAAGAGTTCTGGCTGGAGGTGCAGGCTCTGAAGTGGGGCCAGGGAAGAGGGATTCAGAGTGCAGGAGGAGGATCAGGGCTGGGGTAAGGGTGCAGGAGGGGGTGTGGGGTGCAGGTTCTGGGCCGCGCTGACCTCAGGTGGCCCCAGCATTTCCCAGTGATGGAGGAAGTACACGTGGCTCCTGGTAAGCAGTGGCATGTCTCTCCAGCTCTTAGGCAGATGGGCAGCCAGGAGGCTGTACACCGCCCCCACCCACAGGCACTGCCCCAAGTGCCGGCTCTACAGCTCCCATTGGCCATGGTGTTCCTGGCCAATGGCAGCTGTGGAGCTGATGGTCGGGGCAGCACACAGAGCCCCCTTCACCGCCCCTCCACCTAGGAGCCAGAGGCACATACCGGCCACTTCCTGGGAGCCACGCAGAGCCAGGCACGGAGGCTGCCTGCTCAGGGTACCCAACCAGACTTTTAGCGGCCCTGTCAGCTGTGCTGACTGGAGTTGCCAGCATTCCTTTTCGACCGGGCATTCCGGTCAAAAACCGGATGCCTGGCAACCCTATGTTGGAGTCAAGTGCCTAGTACATTGAGGGTACTACTGGAATACAAATAAAAGAAGCTGGTATTGCAGGGCCACATGCTATGTGTGTGTATTGTTAGTGCATACTCTGCCTTATTCATTTGATACCGTAGCCTGGCTTCCTATGGTCTTGGGAGTAGGGACTGTCATTTCCTGTATGTTTGTGTAGGACCTAGCACAGTGGTGCCCAGCCTAGGTGTAACTGAACTATAAGCGTTGAATAATAAAGACAGATCAGTATATTTTCTGAGGATACATTTGTGACAGGTTGGACCCCCTTAAGATGCCACCTGATATGCTGAGATAGCACTGAGCCTGCCTCTTATGCCAGCTTGGGCACCCTTTTTACCTGTCTTGCTGAGCTAGGCTATTAAGCCTCCTCCAGCAAACACACAGGCAGGGCCACACCCAACTACAGAACGAAACAAACAGTTCTGGGAAGGATCATCTTAAGGGACTTGCCTCAGCACACAGGTGTCCACCTCCCTGGGAATGCAGACCCAAAGATATATTATGAAATCTGCCTCCTCCCTCAGTGTGGAGGAAGGTATGCACAACTTCTCGTGTCCCCCCCTGGTTAGACATCACACAAACTGGGTTTAATAATAAACAAAAACAATTTTAACTGTAAAAGGCAGATTTTTAAGTGGTTAAAGAGATAGCAAACAGAACAAAGCAGATTACTAAGCAAATGAAACCAAACACGCAAACTAAACTAGTTTCACTAAAGAAATTGGTTACCAATAATATTTCTCACCCTAGATATTGTTGCAGGCGGATTACAGAAAGTCTTGAAAGGCAGCTGCACTGGTCTCCCTCTTGAGACCTCAGGTATTATTACTCACAAGCTAGGTGCCCTTCCAGCTTGGGTTCAACCCTTCTCCCCTCAGTTCAGTTTTTGCTTCCAGGTCTTTTTCAGTGTCTCTTTTGCAGGGGGGGGAGGCAGAGGAGAACCATGATGATGTCACTCCTCTGCCTTATATAGCTCTTGTGTAAGGCGGGATCCCTTTGTCTTCTAGTGGAAAACCACTGGCATTCCAAAAGGGGAGGAGGGGTATCCAGGACCAGGTGACTTGGACCCTGGTCTCTGCATGGCTGTGGCAGCCATTGCTTGTAGGCTGTCTCCACTGTCCACAGGAAGACTAAGCTCTTTCACAGTCCATTGTCTCTGCTAATTGCCCATGAGCCCTGTCTGGCTTTTCCATTGTTGTACCTGAAGTGGTAGCAGTGGGCATCACGCAAAGTACAATCGTTGAAATAGAGATACATAATCAATATTCCTAACTTCAGATACAGAAATGATACAGGCATACAAATTGGATAATCAAATTCAGTAAATTATAACCTTTCTAATGATACCTTACAAGACCCATCTTGCATAAAGTACATTTCAGTTATGTCATATCATAAGCACATTTTCATAAAAATATGGAGTGAAACATCACAACACTTAATTCTTGTTATTCATGCACACCCATATTTCCAATTTGTATTCTTGTGTGGCTGAAAGTACAGTTCACCACATATTGACAGGTTTCAGAGTAGCAGCCGTGTTAGTCTGTATTCGCAAAAAGAAAAGGAGTACTAGTGGCACCTTAGAGACTAACCAATTTATCTGAGCATAAGCTTTTGTGAGCTACAGCCCACAAAAGCTTATGCTCAAATAAATTGGTTAGTCTCTAAGGTGCCATTAGTACTCCTTTTCTTTTCACCACATATTGTCATTTGTGCTCCTAGGCCCAACCTCCATGCTGAGGTTGCTAAACTTCCATGGAAGCAGTCTCTGACTCCCTAGTTACTGTCAAAAAGAAGATACACTGAAAGATGAAAAGTTGGCTAGAGGGATCAGCCACCATTTCACTGCCACAATTTACAACTGCCCCTCCCTAAAGATGGCAGTCACGTGCCTGACTGATCCTAAAGGACTAAACACCGTGGGTCAATCAGGCTCTCAGTAACAGACAATTCCAATTGAAACCGATGGGAATTATATCCATTTTAATAGCAAACATCAGGTCCCAGAGAGCTCGACCAGCCATTACTGAATGTTGTCAACATGGCTGAAAAAGCAACACCATAAAAAATTTCAAATGCTGTGACAGTTTTTGGGGCAGCCAGGACTGTCACCCCCTGCCATCAGTGTGCGGGAGTCTTGCCTGGGCCTGGCTGGGTGTCAGCTCCCTACTACCAGCACCCTTTCGGCTACTCAAACACTCTCCTCTGGGCTATGCTATCCCTGTCTTCACCTTGCAGGTTAACAATAGATGCCCCCCCATCCCTGAGTCCCTTTGAATCATTCCCCTGTGAACTCCATCCCCTGACACTGGCTACTCACAGAAGTACCAGCTCCTGCACACCCAAAGGTGCAGTTTACCCCAATTCACAGTTTTATCTTAAACCACCACTCCTGTAAACTACATAGCACTTACAATCAAACCAAAGTAGGTTTATTTAAGACAATGTAAAGATTTAACTAGAATTGAGAGTAAGTCATGGAAACAAATGGTTACAATACAAGGCAAAAAATCAAAGACTGTGAATCTGGATCTACACTTATCAATAGTTCCCTTTCCTACCTCATAAAGTAGGGTGTTCCCCTCCTCCCCCAAAGTTCAGGCTGTTGAAAAGTTGGCTGGTTTCCCAAGAAGCAGGATATTCATGAAACACCGCCCCTCCACAAGGGGGTTTCTCAGTGAAGAGTGCTTCGCCCACCTCTACATTATACTGAAAACAGCCTTTTGTTTCTATTCACAGACAGGGTGAACCCTTGGCTTACTGTAAAGTTCCCTTTTTAGCTTCAGATGGTTTTGGTTGTTTGCATTTACCTCTGATGGTCTCCTAGGAAAGTCCTAGTACTGTGCAAGGCGAAACATTGAGCCTTGCACTGCATCACCAACCAACCAGGGTGATAACTCCAAACGTGATGGAATGGACCATCACTAAGACACATTATCCCTGGTGACTATTTTTACTCCAAGTGCATAAAACATACTTTCAATATAAATACATTATTTCTTAACTATTACCTGTACATATGTTCACAATTATTACAAATCTTGACAAGTTATGAGCTTTCTGTAGATACCTTGCATATTACTCTTTATGCATAAATATCCTGTAAGATGTATTTGGTGAAATGAGTTTATCAGGTCTGAGGTGAGAGTTGATTGCAACTCAATGTACCTACTTACATATCAAAATCTGGGTGCAGTACTGACTTTTTAACATTCAAGCACGAATGCTCATAGCATCTATTAGCCGTTATATGGAAGTTTATACCCCACTTAGCCAAAGAATGTTTTACTTGATGTAAACAATTTTTTGCAGTGCTTGATGCTGTCCAAGTTTTGGTTTACAGCTCTGTTAGTAACTAAACAAACATGTCAACTGTTATGTTGGCCTTAAAAGTAAATATTCCACTTAAATAAATGCTTAAAGGAAAATAACAAATCTAAACATCTGAAGGGAAGGAACAAATGATCTCTCGCACACATTTCATATGGCATGAGCAATTGCCTTGTACGAGTCCCCTTATAAAAAACTTCATTTTCACCTTTAGCGAGCCCAGGAACAAAAGAGTCTTTTAATCTTATTGTCTGACCTGATACTTATAATGGCATTATTTATATGTAGCATACTTCATACACATTTTTCAAGGCACACTTATGAGGATAGGTGAGTGGCTTGATTAGATATTATCACAAATAAACCAGCGCTCTTATAAGCTAAATAAAATCAACTTCTGTGGTCAGTAACGTGGCTTGTTTAATTACCATAGGAGTCTATTGATACTGGCATCTACCCACACTTGGACATATCAGTTGATCATTAAGATTAGATAAAGTAGCATTTCTCTTCTGAAAAACTGACTGGGGGAAAAAGTATGTTCCTTGACCCATGGCACTGTATTCCCATGCCACAGATTCTGCTAAGGCAGAGGGAAGAAATGAAAAAACATGCTTAAGAAGGAGTGGGCTGGGGAGAACTCAACCTTTGTGGAAGTACGGGCAGACACTGGGAGACACCCAAGGGAAAAGAAACTTGGAGCAGATTAAATGCCGGTTTTATTATTTCACATTGTTAACAGTATCATTTACAATGATTTCTTGTTAAAAAGCATAAATTATAGATGAGGAGGGAAGCACTGCCTGTTCTCTGGAGCTCCTAAGTAGTGAGATCTAAACACCAACCTTGATCCAGAGCCTAATACATTCCTCACTAGATCCTACTGAACATGGGACATGCAGAAACATTTAAAAAAATACAACAGCTCAATTCAACAGGCCTCTATAAAGCAACGCTCACATTAAAATCAATGGGAGTTCTGCTAAAATAAAGATCATTGACTCTGGCCCCAACTGGTTCCTGACTCTTAGAAAGTCTCTCCAAAGCTAAGGAAAGTCAGCAAGGTCTCTGGAGCTGCTGCCAAATCTAAGAAGTTTATGATGAAATTAATGATTGTGTGTTTGAGATTTCTGGGCAGCTGAACAATGAGTTGTTAAAGCATGTTTCTGATGAGAAGGCATAAAAAAAAAAATAGAGAATGCTTTGTCAGATCCAGTCAAGGCACTTATGGGCTCTGGAGCCTAGAAATAAGGGTTAGAAGCCAGAACCTTTGAATTTTCCCATCACCAGACTAGACTGCTTTGCCAAGTTTCGTTATGACTTGGTAGGATTCTCTCTTGCCAGATTTAAGTCTATATGATTTATTCAGATATAACCCTAAGCTTACTACCAGGCAAATTGGTTGAAATTTAGTAAAGAACAGCATTATCAGATACCTAGATAAACAGGATATGTTGGAGAAGTGTCAACACGACTTTTGTAAAGGGAAATCATGCCTCACCAATCTATTAGAATTCTTTGAAGGTGTCAACAAGCAGTGGCCAGGAGTGACCCAGTTGATATCATGTACCTGGACTTTCAGGAAGCCTTCACCAAAGGCTCTTAAGCAAAGTAAGCAGTCATGGGATAAAAGGAAAGGTCCTCTCATGGATCAGTAACTGGTTAAAAGATAGGAAACAAAGGGTAGAAATAAATGGTCATTTTTCAGAATGGAGAGAGGTTAAATAGCCGGGGGGGGGGGGGGGGGGGGGAGAAAAAGAGGGGGGGGGGGAGTCCCTCCATGATCTGCACTGGGACCAGCGCAGTTCAACATGTTTATAAATGACCTGGAAAAAGGGACAAACAGTGAGGTGACAAGTTTGCAGACGATGCTAAATTACTCAAGATAGTGAAGTCCAAAGCGGACTATAAAGAGATGTAAAGGGACCTCACAAAACTGGGTGACTGGGCAACAAAATGGTAGAAGAAATTTAATGTTGATAAGTGCAAAATAATGCACATTGGAAAACATAATCCCAACAATACAAACTGATGGGGTCTAAATCAGCTGTTACCACATAGTGGAGTCATAGTGGATAGTTCTCTGAAAAGGAGCATTCATAAAAGCTAACAGAATGTAAGGAACCATTAGAAAAGGGATAGATAATAAGACAGAAAATATCATAATGCTGCTATATAAATCCGTGGTATGCCCACACCTTGAATACTGCATGTATTTCTGTTCACCCCATCTCAAAAAGGATATATTAGAATTGGAAAAGGAACAGAGAAGGGCAAGAAAAATGATTGAGGGTATGGAACGGCTTCCATATGAGGAGAGATTAAAAAGAGTGGGACTATTCAGCTTGGAAAAGAGACGACTAAGGGCGGGGATCTGACATCAGTCTAGAAATCATGGAGGGTGGGGAGAAAGTGACGAAGGAAGTGCTATTCACCCTTTCACATAACACAAGAACCAGAGGTCACCCAATGAAATTAATAGGCAGCAGGATTAAAACAAACAAAAGGAAGTACTTCTTCATACAACGCTCAGTCAACCTGTGGAACTTGTTGCTAGGGGATGTTGTGAAGGCCAAAAGTATTACTCAGTCAAAAAAAGAACTAGATAAGTTCATGGAGGGTTGGTCCATCAATGGCTATTAGCTAAGATGATCAGGGATGCAACCCCATGCTCTGGGTTTCCCTAGCTTCTGACTGCCAGAAGCTGGGAGTGGATGACAGGGGATGGATCACTCAATAATTGTTCTGTTCTGTTCATTCCCTCTAAGCATCTAGCACCAGCCATTGTCAGAAGACAGGATCCTGGGCTAGACGGACCATTGTGTGACACACTATGGCCTTTCTTATGTTCTAAAATTAAAAAATGAGTGTGGCACTGGCAAACAAGGTGCCTGCTCATGCCAAGCTCCCCACGTCTCACTTGCATACTGAACACCACATAGCTGGAATCAGTCAGGTTCACCTACGTATTAGTACTGCCAAAACAGGCATAAGCAGCGAGTTATATGGGCCCGGGGTGCCCGGCTCCAGCAATATTCAGAGCCCGGGGGCGCAGCTCCACCAATGTTCAGGGCTGGGTCTCTCCCCTGGCCCCACCTGCCGCCCCCCTGCACCTCCCCCGAGTGTCCCCCGGCCTCCCCTTGCTGCCCTGGATCCCCAGGAGTGCAGCATCCCTGTCTCTCCCCAGCACCTCCATGCTGCCTCCCTGCATTAACTATCGCCGCAGGGTCCTAGTGCCCAGCACCCAAAACTGCCAGAACAGACTGACCCTGAGCCTGCCCTTCCCCCGCGGACTCTTTCATTTTCCAACGGGACCCTCCACTAGCACAGGGGGCCCCTCCACCCACAGTCACCGCTCCTGCCCCATGCTGGACAAGGGGCAGCCCCACCCCCAGTGAAGCTACAGTGAAGGGCAGCAGCAGGGGAGGAGGTGCACATGTGATGGCAACCCCCACCCCCATGACAAGAAAGGGGGCTTCCTGTACCTGAGAGGGGGCCTAGGAGCACGTGCAATGGCAGTGGTGCGAGGTGAGTGTGGTGCAAGGGGGAGTGGGGGGGGGGGCTCCCTCAGAGCTCACTGCTGCCTGCGGGGAGAGGGCTGGGGGAATCCTCCTCTCTGGCCCTCTCTGGCCCTTGCCCCGGGGCAGCCTGTCTGCACCCCAAACCCCTCATCCCCAGCCCTGTCCCACCCCAGAGCCCTCATCCCCTGCACCCCAACCCTCTGTCCTAGCCCTGAGCCCTCTCCCACACTCCAAACCCCTCATCCAGAGCCCTCACCCCTGCACCCCAACCCTCTGCCTGAGCCCCCCCCCACACCCCAAACCCCTCATCACCAGCCCCACCCCAGAGCCCTCACATTTTTACATTATTTTAAAAAATATACAGTAACTCCTCACTTAATGTTGTAGTTATGTTCCTGAAAAATGCTACTTTAGGTGAAACGATGTTAAGTGAACCCAATTTCCCCATAAGAATGAATGTAAATGGAGGGTTAGGTTCCAGGGAATTTTTTTTTTTTTGCCAGACAAAAGACTATATATATTCACACACACACACACTATAAGTTTTAAACAAACAGTTTAATACTGTACGCAGCAATGATGATTGTGAAGCTTGATTGAGGTGGTGGAGTCAGAGGGTGGAAGAGGGTGGGATATTTCCCAGGGAATGCCTTGCTGCTAAATGATGAACCAGCACTCGGCTGAGCCCCCAAGGGTTAACACGTTGTTGTTAATGCAGCCTCACTCTATAAGGCGGCAGGAATGGAGGGGGGAAGACAGCATGGCAGAGAGAGAGACAGAGACACACACCCTCTGTGTGGGAGAGAGACTTTGAGACAGAGTTGTTGCCAGCAAGCTCCCTCCATTCTGAGCCCTGCCGTGTCCCCCACTGCTCTGTGGAGATGGAGGGGCAGGAACGGGGGAGGGGGACACCCTGACAACAACACCCCTCTTTCCCCTCCCCACCTGCACAAAGGGTGACCAGACAGCAAGTGTGAAAAATCAGGACGGGGGTCGGGTGTTATAGGATCCTATATATGAAAGAGACCCAAAAATCAGGACTGTCCCTATAAAATAGGAGGCAAGCAGGAGGCTCCCGGAGCAGCTCCAAGGCAGAGGGCAGGAACAGCACACGGCAGTGGGGGGAGGGACAGCTGAACTGCCAACAATTGATAGCCTGCTGGGCGGCTGCCACACAGGGAACTTAGGGGAACTGATGGGGGGCTGTCGGCCCACCCTGGTTCGAAGCCCCCACCAGCTGGCGCCAACGGGCTGCTCTTTC